AATACATTTACATTTATCATTGGGTGTTTGTACCTGTACATGATGTATCTTGGTTCTTATTTTTTCCCCATTACCTATGCACCCTTCACCCCCTCCACCCTTCCCTATTTACACAGATTTCATTTCCATTTTTTTCCTTTTCTCATAATTTTTCCTTTCCCCTTCCCCTCCCACTTTCCCTACCCCTTTGAACCTTTTCTTCCTATTTTAAATTATCAATTATTCGTTTTAATCGTTTTAATCCTTATTTACACTTTCAGTTTCTCACAGTAGAAATACTATTCGGTATTTACACAAGTATGTCCTATTTATTTCACTTAAGAGTATGGCCTCAATATGCATCCACTTAGCTATAAATGGCTCTAGTTTCTCGTTCTTTATGGCTGAGTAGTACTCAATTTTATTTAAAAAAGACACACACACACACACATCTTCTTGATCCAGTTTCCAGTTGATGGGCACTTGGGCTGTTTCCAAGCTTTAGCTATTACAAACTGTGCCGCTATAAACATGGGTGCACATATATCACTGTGGTATGATTCTTTTAATTCTTTGGGGAAGATACCCAGCAAGGGAATAGCTGGGTCAAATGGGACTTCCAGTCCTAGTTCTTTGAGCTACCTCTGTACTGATTTCCACAGTGGTTGTACCAGTCTACGCTCCCACCAGCAGTGGAGCAGGGTTCCTCTTTCCCCACAGCCCCACCAGCATTTGTTATTGGTTAATTTCTTGATAGCAGCCATTCTTTCTGGGGTGAGGTGGAATCTCAGTGTTGTTTTCATCTGCACCCCAGAGATATTTTAAATTAAGTAAAGAAATGTTTAAAAGAATCAAAAACTTCATATCAATGTTTGTTTACACATTGGCTTTATATATGTGTATTTTAAGAACATTTGGCCTACTCAAATAATAGCTCAGACTATTTAAAATGTACACTGAACTTAAAAAATTTTAGTTGGGATCTTACTCTGAAGAGAAATTAAACTTTACCATCTTAGTAAGTGTACCGGTTTTATTTTAGATTTATAAGAATACATTAAGACCTTGAGAAAATTTTGATTATGAAAACAAGTAATTGAAGTATTTATGAAACAAATCAAACATGCCAAATTTATAAACATAGGTTGAAAAACATTTTGGGTGGCCTGGGGATTTAGCTCAGCGGTTTCATCACCTGCTGCTCAAGAACAAGGACCTGAGTTCAATCCCCGGTACCAAAAAAAACAAAAAAAAACTTTGGGTGTTTTGAGACAGGGTCTTGCTATGTCATTTAGCCTGGCCTTGAACTCACTATGTAGCCCAGGCTGGTTTTAAACTCACAAAAATCCTCCTGCCTCAGCCACCCAAGGACTACAGGTGTATACCACCATGCCTGGCTAGGTTGAAATTTTTAAGTGAGTTCAATTAACTAAATTGGTAAATGTTGCCAAATACCAATCAAAGCCCCTGTGATAGCTAAGATTTGCTGATCTTATAAATATAAGATAATATAAAGTTAACCTGAGAGCTAAAGAAAGAACAATTGTTGCATTTGTGACTGTTTGTTTTTCATTTGTAACTTCAATAAATTGAGTAATAATTTCAAATATCAAAGTTAATAGCTTTGCTAGTAGCTTTTTCTGAAGAGAGAAGCCTTCTGCGGCAACAGTAAACCTTGCAGTTAACAACATTGTAAAGAAGTCACTGGGTATGGTGACTTATGGGTAGGTGGATCACAGAGACCTTAAAAGAACAGGTTAGCAAGCCATCCAGAGCAGAGGGCATAGTTTCCAGTGGTGATGATTTGCAGGCGAAGTTGCTGACATTATGTTCCTATTGGCTGCTGTAAGAAATTACCACAAACTCAGTGTTTTAATACTCCCACCTACCTATCTCAAATCCATTTGTAACTACACACTGGACTTCTTGCAGGTTGGCACCCTAAATTCATACTATTTGAATGGAATTGAAAGCTTGCACCCTGTGTCCATACATTTTTAACAGACCCTTGTGCACAGACACATACTATATTTAGCATCTGTGGATTAGGAATTGTTACAGCTTATATTGCGATCCATCCCCCCAAGGCTCATGGGCTCATAGGTGGAGCTTTGGGGAGGTGGCTGGATCATGAGTGTGTGGTACTGTGATTAAGGCCATGCATGACTAAATTGGCTTAGCATAGATCTAGGTGTGGATAATGCAAAGGCCCAACGTGGGTGTGGGTGGCACCACCCAAAAGGCTAGTAGCCTGCATGGGACAAAAGAGAAAGGGATGCTTGCTGCTGCTGCTTGCTGCCTGTGGTTGCCACACCATGAACTGTTTTTCCTCTGCGATGCCCCTCTGCCATGCCACCCTGCCTTGGAGCCACCCAACTATGGACTGAAATCTCTACAAACTGTGAACTACAATAAACCTTTCCTCCTTTACTCTGGGTGTCGGATGTTTTGTCCCAGCCACACAAAGGTAACCAAGACAGTAATGATGATTTAGCTTAAGGACTTGGTCATATGAAATGCAACCAAAGTTGGCTAAAACATTTATGTATGGCTTTAAAAATAAATTTGTGTTGTATTCTCTTGTTTGATGACATCATCTCCCAAACATGAGTCCAGTTGTCTTACTTGCCTCATTTGGTCAAGTCTTCACTCACCTGGCAAATGTCCACGTACAGTATTGTCTAAGTAAGCAACATCATAAAGCCAACCAACAAGGAAAGTTGAATGGGATATACAGTACACAGTTACAGTTCCTGCTCCTTTCAAAATGTAAACTGAATACCATTTCTGTTTTTCTTCTTCCTATTTATGAATGTATCATAGTAATCAGAGATAATAAACAATTGAGGGAGCTGAAAGAGTAATCTCAAGGAAGCTGATTTCTCAGGCTTTATCATATCAAAATCCCAGCTGGAAAAATTTATCAGGAAAGAGTCAAAAAAAAAAGGAATTTCACTCAAGACTGCAACATAGAAACCCTGGCTGAGCCTCCTGCCTGCTGAGCTGCCCTACAGATTTTAGATTTATCAAGCCCTACAGTCACATGGGTGAATTTCTTAAAGTCTCTTGTTAGAGAGATGGAGAAAGATAAATAGATAAATTAGTAAGTATATATGATATATAAGTAGAGAGAGATGGAGAGAGAGAGAGAGAGAGAGAATGAAAATCATATTAGTTCTGTTTCTCTAAAGAACCCTGACTTAATACACCATCTAAAAGGTTTCCAAAGAGCCCTGTAGCCAACTGCTCTGCTTCATTTACCTGATAGGATCTGACCTTGCAAATGGAAAAATGAGAGCTAATCAACAAAATAACCTCAATGGTATGTAACAGACAATTTCTGAAGCCTTTACCACTTCCTTCCAAACACAGAGCATTAAAAGGTAACATAATGGAATACAAACCAGGATTTTGTTCTGCTCTATCTGTGACCAAGTCAGTGAAACTGGCCAGGGACCCCATTGTAACTTCTTCCCAAAGAGAGGGGCTCTAGCCACTCTTCCAGTTAAGATCAGTTTCTCTCCTCTAACAAGCCAATGGGAAGAGTGACTTCCTGAAAATGAAAAGATGTCCCCAGTGATGACTTCTAGGATAGCAGGCTGTGACAAGCTGGCCTATTCAGAGGATATTAGCAACCAAGAAGAATGTAGAATGGTGGAGCTGCTGGCATGATAGCATCATTGTCTCCACAGTGGAGGAACCAGTGCAGGTTGTGGAAAGCAACGGAGTGCCAGAAATAGCCAGAAAATGATAAGAATTGTGTTCTCCATACAGAGGATGAGCTCAGAGAGATTCATGTGGAGACATTGGTTAAGAAAAGTGATTTCATTTGGAACCAGAAGAGATCTAGAATAGCAAAAGCAATCCTAGGCAACAGAGACATGACAGGGTATATCACAATCCCTAATTTGAAACTATACTACAAAGCCACTGTGATTAAAAACAGCATGATACTGGCAAAGAAACAGGCCCAAAGATCAGTGGAATAGATTAGAAGATGCAGAAACAACTGCAGACACGCTCAGCCACCTCATCTTCGACAAAGGAGCCAACCATCCTCACCGGAGGAAAGATAGCCTCTTTTATAAATGGTGTTGGAAAAACTGGATTTCAACTTGCCAAAGATTAAAACTAGACCCCTATCGTTCACCATGCACTAAACTAAAATCAAAGTGGATTAGAGACCCAAGTATTAAAACAGAAACACTAAACTTGGTGGAAGATAAATTAGGTAGAACTCTCGAAGACAATGCCATAGGAAAACACTTTATGAACAAATCCTCAGTAGCACAGGAACTAGCACAAAGAATCAACAACTGGGATCTCATCTTATTAAAAAGCTTCTGCATTGCAAGAGAAACCACCAACAGAGCTAAGAGACAACCTACAATGTGGGAAAAAAATTTTAGCAGCTGTAACTCAGACAAAGGACTACTATCTACAATATATGAAGAACTTAAAAAAAAATCAGACCCCCAAAACTTAAAGACCCAATTCAAAAATGGGCATCTGAAATGAACAGACATTTCTCAGACAGAGAAGTAGAAGCAGCAAATGAATATATGAAAAAATGTTCACCATCACTGGTCATTCAAAAGAAACATGAAAACAACACTGATACATCATGTAAAGGTTCAAGATCCCAGTGATGAATGTAACGTATTTTATATCTAAAATGTACCAATAAACTAAATGGAAAAAAAGAAAAGTGATTTCAGAAACATCTTCAACAAAGCTGAGATTCTGTGTTGTTCTTCCCTTGAGGAAATGCTTGTAAAGAAAAGTATGAAGACTCAGACACAGAAATCTGAATATGTAAACTCAGGTCATATTTCTGTATTTCACTGTGTATAAAAAATCATTTTCTCCCCGGTACCAAAAAATAAAATCATTTTCTTTCTCTTTCTCTTTTTTTTCTTTTTCTGTGTTGTTACTGAATAGTTCATACATGAGGTAGTATATCTCAGACAGTATTAGCTTGTTTAACTTTATTATTGTTATTCCCTATTGTTGCTTAATAGGGAGAATTTTGTGCAGTGGCGAAGTGGCGATACAGAGAGAAAGGAAGCACTGGCCTGCAGCAGCAGTTTCACCTCGCAGCCCTGGGATACTTATCTCTGTGCAAACACCAGCAACCAAAAGTAACTTTTGAAGTTGTGATCATATTAAAGTAATGCTAATGATTTTAGGTGCCTGAGTAACTTTATTTATTAACCAAGCATTTGTGGTTTTACTTTTCTTCTTTCGCTAAAACTCCAAAAAAAAATCTATGTACTTACATAGGAAACGTTGCTGTTCTTATAGTTTTGATATTTACAGTGTTTTAAATACACTTTTTGTGAGATTTAAAACACTGCATTTATTTTGATACCACCATTTGCATAATTAAAAGATGTGTTGACCACAATTCTGTATGAAGGAAGAACCTGCTACAAATTAGGAATAACTTGTTTTCATTAATTTTGCCAATTTTGAGTCAAGGGAAGAAACCTGAAATAAAGGTTTAGTTGAAAGTGGTCCCAGGCTGGTAGTGCAAGCAGATATGCAAAGCCAAAGAACTCCTAGCATTCCAAGAAAAATGAGTGACTCACATTCAAATATCTCTGAACACTAAAGAAAACAGGCACCAAGACAGAATCATCAGACTTTTAATATTTTAGATATTGGAATTAAAAGATCCAGAATATAAAATGATGATTATTAATATATTGTATTTAAAGAGCTAAAACCCAAGTTTGGAAAGATGAACATGGAACAGAATACTAAAATGAATATCCAAGCTAATTTTATAAAACCAAATAAAACATCTACTTGAGAAAATAATAATTGAAATTTAAAACTTAGTGGATAAGCATAACAGCAGATTGGACACAAGCCAAAGAGATAACTGGAACCATAAAACACCATCTAAAAAATTAAACAAAAAAGTATCAATCAGAACAAAGCCAGGAGAGACATAAAATACAAAAAAAAATTTTAAGTGATTTACAGACCTATAAGATGAAATGACAAAGTTTAACAAAGTCTAATAAGGTCTAGGAAAGGAAAGAGAACAGAGAAGAGTCCATTTTTGAAGAAAGATTGGCTGAGGAATGGGTAAAAAAGATGTGAATTCACAAATTCAAGAAGTCCAATGAATTCCAACAGAACAAGTAACTGGAGCCATTATGACGGGACTCTAGAACCCCAAAGTGTTTCTATCAGGGCAGTTCACTTCGCTCGTTGCTGTATCCCTGCTGTTGGACACTCAATGTACTCTTGATGGATGAATAACAGAGAATCACAATGTACAGCTCATGTGTTTGAAATCGTGGCTTTGACATAGTTCTGAATTATTCTGGTTCTATTTATGGACTAAACTGAAATGGAGTGGAATTTGAAATTACTATAGTTTTAAAGGCAGAAAACTGATTGTCATTTTATATCATTTAATGTCTTACAAATACTCAAATGTGACTCAAAAATCAAATATGCTATTAAAATCTTTGTTCTTAAAGCTAGTCTTTATGCTGGGAAATCAAAAATATTTTGCTCTGGATTCATTTCATGTTGGCATGAAAGGAATAGTATAAGACTTTCTGGTAGTCATGAGCACTATCACGAATAGTCTGGCTTTCTCTCAGTTGAGGCACATGGTAAGATTGTACTTTCCTGCTCACTTGAAGTTAGGTATGTCTATATGAATGTGAGAAGCAACACATACTTTGGCCAACAAAATGTGAGAAATAACATATGCCAATTCTATGTGGAAAGGTAACAGCCAGAACATGCAATGCCACCACCTTTCTTTCCCCTCTGCCATGGCAATGTTCCAGATACTTGCTGCCCCTTGGCCTGTCTCCCAAAGAAATGCAAAACACCCAAGGTTACCAACTGATGGACATATTGTGACTGACATGTATACTTTTTCTCTTTTTAAACCACATGGATTTGGGGTTGTTCGTTAGAGGAAAACACACTAGCCTACTTTGATTAATATAAAGGCACTAAAGAGTTTCTACACTTCTCTAGTAGAACATTTGGCCTAACCTATAGGGCTTGAACTCCAAATTGGAAGATACAGATTACGTATTCAGAAACATTTTCTTAGTGACACAAAAGAATAGAATGTGGTACCAGGAAAAGCTGCAGAATTGTGTTTTCATGCAACGTTTGAGAAGAGAATAGTGTCTAATCTGGTTGAGGTTTCAAGCTGCCTAATGATAAGGCAGTAGATTACATAACTACTCAAATTTCCTCCAAGCCTTATGGTTTTACATTCTTTAGTATAATGCCATGGCTGGAAAGAAATAGGTTACAGAAAGGAAGCAATACAGTTCCTATTCTAGGTTAGTCAGCAGTTTCTATAGGATATGTTGGTTATTTTAAGATTCACACAGTGAATTTTCAATGCTATTAGCAACATTGGTGAATTATAATCAGCTTTTGCATAAATTACTTGCAAAAATGAAAACCCATGGCAGTTCCTAAAATGTAGTATAAACTTAGCACTTTTTCTTTCATTTAAAACATATTAAACATTAACTAAATTCCAGGCACTGGACTAGATCCCACAGATTGAAAGATAAAAAAGGGATTAGTCCCTCCAGGGGCTTACTTAAGCTGGGAAGTCACCTAAAAAATTAATTACTAAAAAGTAAAAATTAAAAAAATAAAAAATTAATTACTAGACAGTGTGTTATCTACTATGGTAGAGGATAAATATAGCTTTAAGTGATCATGGAGGGATAAGCAACAATGAACAAAATACGTCAGAGAAAGCTTCCACAATGAAAAAAAAAAACTTTATTCCACTAACTGTTGCTGAAATTATAAATACACATATGCATATACAAATATGTACAGTGAGAAGAAACATACATACCTATGTGTATGTACATACATACACATTCAGATTTTAGCTACTTGAAATGTGTCATTTATGCCTTCATTTACCTAAATTGTGGAAATGAATTGAGTATTTTGTTACAGAAATTGTTAGGCATACCATACTTAGGCTTATTAATTTTCAAAAGCCACTTTAAATTTGATGATCTCTATCTTTGATAACGCAGAGAAAATTGCAGCACCATGAAAGGCCTTAAATCATTACCTATGGAAATTGACTTTAACCTCTGAGCCCACACTCTGGATATGGGAATGGAGATAAAGCCTTCCCTACAGTCGTGTTCTGAGAATTAGAAATAACATATAAGAACACCTGGCATGTACCTTGCAAACGATATGCTTTCAATTAATTGTAGCCATTATAGTTATTATACTTACTACCATTACAGTAACTGGACTAAACCAAATCTGCACTGACCCTAACATGTGCTGTAGATGTTATGCTTTTGAACTCCTGATAGGACTTTGTCACATACTGTTTTTATTTTCCTTCTTCTTCTTTTCTTCTTGTAAAAGCATAGCATAAACTTCATACACCCTTCCCCAAAAAGTTCAGCATCTGGACTTCTTGATTATTTGAATTCAGAATCAATAGGAGTTTATAGGTTTTGAAGAAATGAGAGGAAGAGAAGCAGAAACATGATAAAGCACAAAATTCATAAGGAAATGAAGAATTCAAAGACATCTGGCAACCTCAGTTATGGAATCAAAATATTCGTTGAACTATGGTTACTGCTGGAGCTTCTTCTAGGCATAAAATATCACAATTATGTTTAGCATTCCTTCCCACTGCACAAGCAAAGCAAATTACTCTATAGATAAATAAATGCCTATGTGGTTATTATATTACTTCATGGTATAAAAATTACCCTGAAATACTACCCATGTTTCCTATATATCTATGCAATACTTAAATAAGTAGGTACATAATGTAATAAGGAGAAATGAGAGCAGATATGATCTCCTCTAATAAGCTCCTATGTGCATTCCCTTTTCATTATTATTTTTGTGAAACAAAATGAGAATACAGCTGAGAGATAAGAATAACTTAAATCTAAGATTGTAGCTAGCTAGGAAGTAAAAATTTAGCAACTGGATTGCTAATGTTATACATAAAATTCCATATGTACTTAGAAACTCAAATATGTGTAGCATAGACATATTGGAAGAAACTTCTCATGAGTTTTATGTTTCTGCATATATTACAAGCAGCAGCACCAACAGCTTTTGTTCTAGATTTCCTTTTTCATTATTTCTTTAAAATGATACTGTACTTTCTCTTTTATCCACCTTTATTGGGTCATAACTGACAGATAAATTATACATATTTAAGATATACAATTTATGTTTTGATGTATATATACATCGTGAAATAATCACCACATAAAGCTCATTGCTATCCATTGCCTCACAAAGTTATCATTTTCTTTTTGAGATGTGTATGGTAAAAAATTTAAGACCTACCCTCTTGGTAAATTTCAAGCATACAATATAATTTTACCATTTTCACATTGTTGTACATTAGATCTCCAGAACTTACCATCTTGCATAGCAATCCAACTTCTGCATATTTAGCCAAACGAAATGAAATCAAGATCTCAAAAAGATATTTGCATATCCATGTTCACTCCAAAATTATTCACAATAACCAAGATACAGAAACAACCTAAATGTCCATTGATGAATGAATGGATAAAGAAAATGTAATATATATATGAATATTATTCATTCCTTATAAAGAAAATCTTGACATTTGCAGCAATGTGAATGAACCTGAGACATTATGTCAAGTAAAATAAGCCTGGCAGAAAATGACACATACCACATGATATCACCTATACATGTAATCTAAAGTAGTCAAACTCACAGAAGTAGAAAATAGTATGCTAGTTGACATTGACTAAAGAGGAGGGATATGTTGGTCAAAGAGTACAAAGTTTCAGTTAGGCAGACCACATTTTCAAGGCTGTTTGTTATGCAACCTTGAGAAATGGATAAATCATCTCCCTTGGAAAGAGAGGACAGATTTATTTGCTGTCCAATACAATAAAGGAAATGTCTCCCTTGAAGATAAAGATTGGGCAGCTATGTTTGCAACCATCATGCAAGATTGGAATTCCCTATACTGTGTTTCTTAGCTGTGAGTCACTCCATAATGGTTAATTTTGTCCATCTGCCTGGGCAAAGGATGCCGAGGTACCTGGGAAAACATTATTTCTGGGGGTTTTAGGAAGGGATTCACATCTGAATCAATAGAATGAGTAAAGAAG